TCACTACAATCAGGTATGATTTGGTTGTCAGCTGGTTAGAAGAAAGCCAGTCTGTTCATTTTCCTTCCCAGTAAAAATGACTTCCCCTTCTTTAGTAGCTGTCAGAAATTTGAAAAATTAAGCCACTAAGTGCAGAAAAGCAATTCCTAGTGCCAGGATTTGAAAGTTTTGTGCTGTAGAGAAATTCAAATAATGCTTTTTTTTCTCTTTTCCTTGTTTTTGGCCACAGCAAACTCTTGCCCTGTATGGCACATCTAATAATGTAGGTGGGGTCTAAGGGCATTTTTACACATGCTGTGGTGCTGGGGTAAGGTGGCGCACCGCAGGATCTCATGTATCAACATCCCCACACTTCAAAATGGTAGCAGGGGCACTTGAACTAAATAAAGCTTGTTTGACAACAAACAACTGTGCCTCTGCCAGCATTTTGATGCTCCAGGATGCTGATAATGAGACATGGGAAGCTGCTGGAGCGTGGCAATTGCAGCACATCAGAGCAGCCTCTTTACTCATGTACAGGCACCCTAAAGTACTAACCAACTTTTGATCTGCAAGATACTTTAAATACCAACATATGCATTGCTGCACCCTGTTTTCTACAGCCACTGACTGCATAAATATTCAGGGTCTGTAGAAAGAACTGTTTATTCTTGTGCCCGAAACTAGTAACACTGTCTGCTTTAACCACTGAGAATTGGGACTGTCATCCTAGATAGTTCATTTGTATTATATAAGTCACATAAACTCTACAGATAGATTCTGTGGCACAGAGGGATATGTTGCAAATCAGTGGGGAAGAGCAGAATACCATCCAAGTAGCATTCTAGTTTTCCTTTCCTAAGTAAAATAAATATGGCCTCTGCATTAAGGACAAATTCTTATTCTCTATAGATGCCCAAGTGTGGAGCTATGAATGCGTGCATGTGAGTCTAGTGACTCACTTCTATAAGTGACTCACTTCTACAAACTTATCTGCACCACTCACATCTGCAGATCTGTCTCTACAGCTAAAGTTAGCATGAACACAGTTTATTTATATTGTTTATTTATTGTTTTGAAGTCTTTATTCAGGCAAAACTTGTGTTAAAGTCAGTGGGACTTGCTTCGGGGGAAGTAAACTTTGGATCAGGCTCTTGGGCCATACATTTTAAAAGAAGAGCTGTACTATGTAAGTCCCCAAGAAGACTTGTGTTTCCGTGAGTACACAAAATATTGTGTGCTATTGCTCAGTTGGTATTCTGTTGGCTCAGCTGGTTCCTTTACAAGCAATGGGAACTTTTCAGTGAATTGCATCTTTTATTACCAGATTATCTGCAGTTGGCCACAGGTAGGCCAAGAACGTTGCCATTACCTGTATATATCAAAGAGACAAGAGAGTTCTAAGGTAAAGAAGAAAATATTTAAGATGAAGTCATCGAGATTAAATAAATAAATAAATGGAATTTAAACTTAAACAAAATAAAAAAATAAGTAATAAATTAGATTTTCAAGGCTGAGTGAAGATTAAACAGTAAGCACCAAGTTTAATGGGCTCTGAATGTGTTCTCACAAAGCTGCCTGTAAATGTCCAGCATGACAGTCATGTATGCATGATACGTTCCTCTCTCTATGTCTCTCTCTGTCAGTTGATGGTGGGGAGAGATCTGGGTGTGGAAATGACTGCTACTGCCCTGTTATGCTTTTCAGGACTTAAACATTTTTAAATGGAATATTTTGACAGTTTGGAACAGTTTTTATCCATGTTTTTTGAAAGAGGAAACTCATCCTTTCCAGTGAGTATTTTCAATTTGGACAAAATCAATATTTTACAAAAAGCCTTTTGGTTGAAATATTCCCAGCTAGATTTATTTAGCATACCTAGTGCTTTGAATATTTTATACATCATTGTGCTTATCCTTAAGAAATTAGCTCTTGTCCTCTAGGATATGCCAAAGCTAAGATCACAGTGCTTTTAGAATAATGGAATGATTTAGTAGATCTTTTCCTCCTGTGATGCCTCTGATCTTAGAATACTACTTAAGGGGCATGCCTACAAGGCATGTTTACTGCAGAGTAGACTAATTAGCTCTGCAGTAAATATCTTGCAGCTACACGTGCAGCCCTATTAGGCCACAGGAAACTAACTCTGTTGCAACTTAGTACTTGTAAATACAAATACTATCTTGCTGTGGAGTTTTTTACTTCACAGCACTGTATGTGTAGACACTGATGCAGCAGGTTGGGGCATAAGGGTACTTCAGTGTGGAGGCTGCCTGCTGACTAGTCCTGCAATGGAGTACCCTCGTGCCCCAGGCAGTCCCTCTGCAGCTCGTTGAGCTAAGTCAGAGCAGCCCCGGACTGACAGGCTGGCCCCACAGCCTCCTGTCAGCCAGGCTGCTCCAATCCAGCTTAACATGCTGCGGGCCCAGATGCACATGTAAACACAGCACTCAGGAGCAATAAACTCCGACACAATAAGCACTGGAGTTTATTGCTTCACCTTAATAGCACATGTAGATGTGCCCAAGGACCATCAATACAGATAATCATCTCTGCCTCTGTTGTACCTTTCTCCACAGGTAACTTAGAATAAGGATGATAAGGATAAGGATACGAGTAAGAATGGTGGTCAAAGTCAGCCCAGACTTGGTTTTGGTCCACCAGTTTTTATTTCCAACAGCACACCAGGGAACAAAGGGGTACCATCATATCCAGTCACCTTTGACTCCTCAGCTTGATTGATCAGGTGCCTACTCACAGCTGGATGGAGCCCTTCGTACAGGACCAGAGCAGGATTTGAATGTATGCCTCCAGAGCAAGATGCCAGCAATGCTCTGTCCCCAGACTCCATTGTGGTATGGCAGTGACCCAGCTTTTCACTTAAATCATCTTTGTTCTTTTAGGAAGACCATAATTTATCCTGCCCAAGGCAGAGGCTTTGACATAGCAAACCATGTGTACATGTGCTCTAGTCTCACAAACTGCTAACCTCAGAGAAATGATAGGCCAGAGTGGCCACAGGTAGGGTGTATGAAACCCTGGAGAAGATATTCATAGTTTCATAGTTTCATAGTTTTAGGGTCGGAAGGGACCTAATAGATCTTCTAGCCCGCCCCCCCGCCAGGGCGGGAGAACAACAATATGCCAGCAGGGGCTAGGGGAAACAGCGTCTCCCCCAAACCCTTCTGGTTCCCCCTAGTGAGTTTATAGACGGTCACCAGGTCCCCCCTCAGCCTTCTCTTGTGGAGGCTGAATAGGTTCAAGTCCCGCAGTCTCTCACTGTAGGGTCTGCCCTGTTGTCCCCGGATCATGCGGGTGGCCCTCCTCTGGACCCTCTCCATGTTGTCCACATCCCTCCTGAAATGGGGCGCACAGAACTGGACACAATACTCCAGCTGCGGCCTGACCAGCGTCGCATAGAGGGGGAGGATCACCTCCCTGGCTCTACTCGAGATGCACCTGTGGATGCACGACAAGGTCCGGTTAGCCCTGCCAACCATGACCTCGCATTGTCGGCCCATGTTCATCTTGGAGTCAATAATGACACCAAGATCCCTTTCCGCCTCCGTGCTCTCAAGTAGGGAGTTCCCCATCGTATAAGTGTGCTGCTGGTTCCTACTACCCAAGTGCAGCACCCTGCACTTGTCCGTATTGAAACGCATCCTGTTCCTGTCTGCCCACCCCTGTAACCTATCCAGATCCTTCTGCAATCTCTCTCTCCCTGCTAGCGTGCTCACCTCCCCCCAAATTTTGGTGTCATCAGCGAATTTAAACAGGTTGCTCTCCACCCCAACATCAAGATCGCTGATGAAGACATTGAACAGCGCAGGGCCCAGGACCGAGCCCTGAGGGACTCCACTACCCACCTCCCCCCAAGTCGAATATGATCCATCCACCACCACCCTCTGAGTGCGACCCTTCAGCCAATCTGCAATCCATCTGACCGTGTAGGCATCTATGCCACAGTCGCCTAGTTTACTAATTAGGATGGGGTGAGAGACGGTGTCAAAGGCCTTGCTGAAGTCCAGAAAGACTACATCCACCGCGACACCTGCGTCCATGGCCTTTGTGACCTGATCATAAAAGGCAATCAGGTTGGTCTGACATGATCTCCCCCTAATAAATCCATGCTGATTGCCCCTGAGCATCATTTCTGATGCCGGCCCATCACAAATGTGCTCCTTGATGATCTTCTCAAAGAGTTTCCCCAGGATTGAGGTAAGACTGACGGGCCTATAATTGCCCGGGTCCTCCCTTTTCCCTTTTTTGAAGATGGGGACCACATTAGCTACCTTCCAATCGTCTGGCACCTGGCCCAAGCACCACGATCGCTCGTAGAGCCGTGCCAGGGGCCCTGCAATAACCCCAGCCAGCTCCCTCAGCACCCTGGGGTGGAGAGCATCCGGACCCGCTGACTTGAATGCGTCCAGCCCCTCCAGAAGCTCTCTAACCCGGTCCTCCCCAACCTGAGGTCTGAAGGCGATCCCCTCGCGTCCGGCTTCTATCACAGCAGGGAAGTCCCGGTCCCTGCACAAGAAAACGGAGGTGAAGAATTGGTTAAAGAGGTCCGCTTTATCCTCTGACGCAACCACCAGATTGCCCAGCATATCCTGCAGGGGCCCCACATTACCCGGCGCCTTCTTCATCCTCCCAATATATTTGAAAAAGGACTTTTTGTTATCCTTAATCCTGGACGCTAATCCGAGCTCTATATCCGCCTTGGCCTTCCTAACAGCCCGCCTGCAGGCCCGAGCAGAGGAGGTATACTCCTCTTTGGAGATTACACCCCCCTTCCACCGGGCGTACACCGCCTTTTTGGCAAGTAGGCATTCCCGGACACCCTTGGTGAGCCAGGGGGGCTTCCGGACACTCCTGCCCCCTTTGCTTCTTGTCGGGATGGACACCCCTTGGGCCCCGAGTATCGTTTCCTTAAGGAACGACCACTCCTCTTGGACGCTGAGTTCCTCTGCCCTCAAGAGGAACTTAGCAGTGACTTCTATTAACCTTGCCTTCCTTCACAGGAACCAGGGAGCATTTCGTGACACTGAGAAGTGGAAAGGTCACAGAACACTAAAGGGAAGCACTTTCTCCACAGTGCACAGCTGGCAGGTGGGATTCATGGCGACAAGGCTGCACAGTAGTCAAGAGTGAGCAGGATTCCCCAAGGATCAGGCATGTCTATGGGTATCAGGAACATCCAGAGCTACCATGGCATTAGAAGTATGTACAAGGGAGACTAACATTCCTGCAGCAGGGCTCCTGTTAGCAGCTAGTTAATGGGAGTCAGGGAAACTTGTCCTGAGCTCATAGAATCAAAGAAAGTTAAGGTTGGAAGGGACCTCAGGAGGTCATCTAGTCCAACCCCCTGCTCAAAGCAGGACCATGCCCAACTAGATCATCCCAGCCAAAGTTTTGTCTAGCCGGGTTTTGAAAACCTTCAAGGATAGAGTTTCCACCACCTCTCTGGGTAACCTACTTCAGTGTTTTACTACCCTCCTAGTGAGAAAATTCTTCCTAATATCTAACCTAAACTTCCTTGCTGCAACTTGAGACCGTTGCTCCTTTTTATGTCAGCTGCCACCACTGAAAACAGGGTAGCTCCATCCTCTTTCAAAACCTTCTTCAGGTAGTTGAAGACTGCTATTAAATCCCCTCTCAGTTTCCTCTTCTCTGCACTAAATAAGCCCAGTTGCCTGTCTTTCCTCATAAGTCATGTTCTCCAGCTCCCTCGCCATTTTTGTTGCCCTGGACTTTCCAATTTGTCCACATCATTTCTGTAGTACAGGGCCCAAAACTGAACACTACTCCAGATGTGTCCTCACAAGTGCTGAATAGAGAGGAAGAATCACTTCCCTTGCCCTACTGGCAACAAACCTACGAATGCAGCCCAATACGCCATTAGCCTTCTTTGTAACAAGAGTACACTGCTGGCTCATATTTAGCTTATTGTCCACTATAACCCCCAGGTCCTTTTCTGCACAGCTGCTGCCCAGCCTGTCAGCCCTGCATGGGATTGTTCCATCCTAAGTGCAGGACTTTGCACTTGTCCTTGTTGAACCTGAGGAGATTCTTTTTGGCCCAATCCTCCATTTGTCTAGGTCACTCTGAATCCTAGCCCTACCCTCCAGCACATATACTACTCCCCTCAGCTTGGTGTTATCTGCAGACTTGCTGAAGGTGCACTCTATGCCATCTTTTAGGTAATTGATGAAGACATTGAACAAAACAGGCCCCAGGACCAACCCCTGGGGCACTCCACTTGATACCAGCTGCCAACTAGACATTGAGCCATTGATTACTATTCTCTGAGCCCAATGCTCCAGCCAGTTTTCTATCCACCTTACAGTCCATTCATCCAGCCCATACTTCCTAAGCTTGCCTGCGAGAGTGCTGTGGGAGACTGTATCATAGAGCCAGTCACCTCATCATAGAGGGCAATCAGGTTGGTCGGGCATGATTTGCCCCTGGTGAATCCATGGTGGCTGTTCCTAATTACCTTTGTCTCCTCCAAGTGCCTAGAAATGGATTCCTTTAGGATCTCCTCCATGCTTTTTCCAGGGACTTAGGTGAGGCTGACTGATCTGTAGTCCCCTGGATCTTCAATCTTCAATCTTCCCTTTCTTAAATATGGGCACTATATTTGTCCTTTTTCCAATCATCTAGGACCTCTCCTAATCACCATGAGTTTTCAAAGATGATGGCCAATGGCTCTGCAGTAGGGTGGCCATCATAGAGGACAGTCCGGCTGTCCTTTGTCCTCTATTGATACAAAACTAGATGCCTTTATGTCTCTACCATACACGTAGACATTGGGATAGTTTGTTCCTGCACTCTCAGTATGATTTCTTTAAGTACAGCTAGGTTTCCTGGACTCCTCTCCCCCTCAGTCTGGCTTCCCAGGGGATCGTGCCCATGAGTTCCCTGAGTGAGTCGAAGTCTGCTTTTTGAAGTCCAGGGACCTCACTCTGCTGCTCTCCATCCTTCCTTTCCACGTCTCTTCCTGCAGCTACGAGTACTGGGACACTGGATGAGGCAGACCAAAGGCTGGTACAGGGGTAGCTTGCATACAACTACTCCCTTTCCTGCAGCAAACACTTGCCTCAGCCAGGGTTCTGCCTATTCACTGCACCTCCTCACTCCCACTGGGGACAGCTTCTGTCCCCCTGAGGATGCAGTTAGGAGCCAACCTGGCTCTTCTTTCAGTGTAGGTGTTGAGTACTGCCCAGCTGTACCATGGACCATGCGAAGCATGAAGCTTCTGCCTCATGTGCAGACACCAGACACCCACATGAAGTTCTAGCAGTAGCTCATTAGCAGGCTTGCAGACTACCAGATGTATGAAAAATCAGTTCAGCTGTTTCCACAGGAGTCTGAGAACGTGCTAGAAAGAGGCGTGTCAACAAATGTTTTTTAAAATGCCATCTAAAAGACACACATCACTCTCTTGTTTACTAGTTGCTCTCACTTTAACCCTCCAGCCAAAGGAAATGCTGGGTGCAGGCACAGAAGAGGTTAATAAGATTGGGTTCTAGTCCCATTTGTTTACTCCAGATGCTATAATTATGAATCGTTAGTTGAAACTCCTCCAAGCTATTCCTGCAGCTCTCTTGGGAAATGGATGGGAGCTGAATTGTTGACATGCTGTATAAACATAGCATTGATTCCAGTGATTTGGGGATAAATGTCTGTCTGTGCAGCCAAAGAAAGCCATGATCCTATCGGGCATGTAGGATCTGGGAGCTAGCTCCTGATTAGCCTTCTAGTCCGTTGCCAGAGTAGCTAGAGCACTTCTTTTTGTTTGCCATTGGTTGCATCATGCCTTTATCCCTTTAAACACATAGCTCCTAAGATATTTGACCTCAGGATTGTGCAGAGTGGGTGAATAAGTGACTTCTCAGTCAGCCTTCTAACCAGCCTGGCATTTTATACTCATGTGGCTGAAAGCAGAGTTTGGAAAGGCAGGATGTTAACGTGGAGCTATGTTGTACCACAGCCCCAACTTCAGCACCTGCTATGGGGGAGGCACAGCGCTAGCATATGCCCCTTGGGAGGAAGTGTTTTGCAAGGAAATCCACCTTTGGCACACAAAGGAAATAAGCTGCTAATCCCCATTCTTGGTAGCAGAGCAAGCTGTGCAGCGTACTCCTTATTGCCCCTTCTGCCCCACAAGTAGCAGCCAGGCTCTCTGGGTACCCCATGGCTGCAGTTGTGCCTGACAGCAAAAGATTCACCAAGTGCACAGAGACTATGTGTTTATGCAGAAACATCAACTGTGAAGGTCCAGTCTATCTCCATTGAAGTCAACCACTGTTGACTTCAGGGGGCACTGGATTCAGCCCTTTAGTAAGGATTGCTTGTTTTCTATTGTGAGCAATGATCCCCAGAGGAGGATCACAAAGGTCACAGAGTTACCTAGTGACACAAATCTGAGCATTGCACAGCTGTAAAAATCGCCATGCTCTCCAAATTAGAGCTGAGCAAACAGTGTACAATGAGTCAGGCGCATGGCAATTTTTGCCTTTAATATGGCTGCAGAGGGACTGAGCAGGATTTCCTGCCTCAGATTATTCCTAGCTTTCTTCAGGGTATAAGCTTGTGTTAAGAGATGCTGGTAAACTGGAAATAGCAATCATGTATGTTTCATGCTAGGCTGGTTAATTACCTAGGGCACATGGTATTGTGCCTGTGGGATCAGAACAGAATCCTGTGATCAGACTGGCATTATCTGTTTTGGGTGTATTCCTCTGTAGTGGGAGGAGCAGGGGGGGGAGAAGTGGGGTCTATCTTCTTTCTTGCATCTCTTGAACATGTTTAATAGCTGCTTACTGTCCCAGAAGACATTGTCAGTGCCTCATTCCCCTGCTTTACCTGTGGAAAGTTAAAGAGTATTTTTGATACTTTGGGCATTGTGCCTGGTAGTTGTATGATAGGTTTGTTTGCACAGTTTTTAGGAACAGGTTAGACCAGTGATTTTCGACCAGGGTGCCTGGGCACTGTGGGTGCCACAAGATCCTTTGAAGGGTGATGCAGGAAGTGTGAGGAGAAGCAGATAAAGGCAGGCTCCAGTTTCAAGTGTGAAGAAATAAGCAGGTAAGGGCAAGCTGAGGGTTTTCCTACCTACCTGCTCCTCCCCTTCCTTCCCTCACTGCCTGTCCCCCCTGCAAAGAGACAAGCCCTGTAATGAATAAGTTTTTGAAGCGGGTTTGCTGCTCAATTCAGAAATGTTATAGAGGGGTGCTGGAGCCTGATGAGGGGTACCTTAAGTCTAAAAAGGTTGAAAACCACTGGGTTAGACAAACTGTGTACGCCCATTCAAATAATCTGGAAGAATTCTCCCAGGTTTGTTCCCCTGGTAGAGAAACTTACGCAGAGCATGTACAGATATTTGAATGCTGAAACCCTGAAGAGTGGAGAGCTTGCAGTACTGACAGTGTGCAGCTGAGGGGAGTGTCTGTACACACATCTCTGCATGCTCTGCAGGCTTCCTTATTCTGCCTGGTGACAAATTGCAGCAGTGCATAGGGCAGCCCTGATTGGCTGACCCAGACTGCCCAGCCTGTGTTCCCCTGAAGCACAAGGTGGGGATTTTG